GAGTGTTGATGCCTCAATGGACCCCGGACTAATAATCAATTGAAACTCGAATGGCCGTTGTGGAATTAAGCCCGGAATTAAGATTATCGGTCCTTTTTATCTTCATGGAGATAAATCTAGCGGCGCACCTATTTGAGCGCTATTACCGTGGACCTTTCCCCTCTCTTCTCGCTTCCTTCTCCTCCTCCCCCTCTTTCCCGGTGTCCTCTCGGAAATCCTTCGAGATACTTGTACACGCCCTCGACCCGTGTAACCCGGCGTACAATAATTCACTTTTAACGAGACATTCGGCATAAAGTACACACGGAACAGTATTTCCCCCAAATTGTCCCGTCATTGTTTATTAGACTTTCTAAATGTCGGCCCTCCTTCCCCCCTTCCTCCTTCCCACCTTCGCCCTTCCCTTCCCCTTCTCCCGCCGACAATCGATCGCGGCATTAGGAAACGAGCTCGGCGCGGTAGGATGACGATAAATTTTCTCCCGGTAAAAAGAAAGAGGGAGAATGTAAAGGAAAAAAAAAGAGAGAAAGAAAAAAAAAGAAGAACGGCGATCTCTCCCAGCGGAGTGCCGGAGTTGCTGCGTCTATCGACGACGAACGGACACTCGCCGGAGAAGGAGAGGACCGTTACCTCTCACGATGGACCAATGGCCTCCGTGTTTCTCGCCTTCCTATTAACGGACGAGCGCATCGCGTCGCACCGTTTCGTTTCCCTATTCGTATTATAAATTGGACTCGGAGGTGCGACAGGACGGAAATCTATCCGATTTCGGGCGTCGCTGTTGGAGGAGGCTCAAACTGGGCCACTCACACCCGTCCACGAGGAGCGGAACGGTGTCTCGGGACGCGTCGCTCGCTATGAAAATTATTGCGTGACCGACTCGGGAAGAAGAACTCTCTGCGCACACACATACGCTGATCTCTGCGATTTCACCTAGCGGAGCGATAGCATGTCGATATTCTTGAGAAAGGCGAGCGGAACCTCGTCGTTTCCCGCGATCTCGCGAGCGGTTACGATTTCTTCGACATGGAAATTAGCTTCTCGAGCCGAGTGGCGAGAGCTAAATCGAAGAGCGCCGTCGGTCTTCCGCGAACGGCATGGAATTCCAACGGAAGCCTCTTTTCTCTCTTCCTCCTCTTTTCTCTTATTTAAAATCGTCGTTATCGGTGTCTCGATGAGGCGAGAGGTGCTTCGCGAGTTCGCGGGAGAAAAGAAGAAAAAAAAAAAAGAACGCTCGATACGCTCCCTTCGAGAGTCAAAATTGCAGGAGACGAGGATTCTCCTTCGCGATTCTCCTAGTTAGATATCGATGAAAATATCGGATGAAATTTACAATCGATGTGAAGTAAGGCACGAAGTCGTCAGCGAATTAATTAAGCGATACGTTTAATTAATTTCGACGGTACGTCCTCCCCCCCTCTTCCACCGTTCCGTACTTCTTTCATCGAAAGTTACTGTGGTGGAGATAGAATATATAATATGGCGATAGAGAGAGAGCGTGTATCTTTCGGGGCGCCCTTTTGACCCTCGCCGCCAGCACCGCAGCGGCATCAAAGCATCTTTTCGAGCCCTTCCTCCGCTCCCTTCTCATCGGCCTGTTCAAATACTCCGAGCTAATTCCGTTTGCTTGTATATTAATAAACGACCCGCTATCGGAGAAACAGAAAGAGAGAGAGAGAGAGAAAGGAAATCATAAGGGCTCGTACTTATCGTGTTCGGGATATTAATGTCGAGAGGGGTGATCGACGTAGGAGCATCCACAAAGTGTGCCGCGATCGTCTTTTTTCACGCTGCGATTCAAGCTCGAAGGACTCTCTCTCTCTCTCTCTCTTCTTCTCTTTCTCTTTTTCTCTCGTTCTCTCTTTCTTCTTCCCGCCTTCCTACTTCGCCGCGCTTAATTAAGAATTACGAGGAATCCGGATATCCTAATTGACGAGCGCGTTCTTTTCGAGGAAGATCGAATGTACACATTTGGAGACAAGCACTTACATACTCTCTCTCTCTCTCTCACTCTTTCTTTCTCCGTCTCTTTCACCTTCTGTTTCTCTCTCTCCCTCACTCGTCGCGCGCGAAATTGCCGCTTTCTCGGGAAGCGTGAGAAAATCGCGCAGACCTGCGCGGGCGTTTTGGAGAAGCGCCGCTACTCAATTAACGTCGAGCCCCGGGTACTTTCCAACTAAATCACTCATCCGCGGAGATAAATTTCCTGTCACGTATGATCGAAGCTAATGGCGTGCGTGAGAGCGCCGCTAATCCCTGTCCGAGGAAACTGATTAGGCCGCCGCACGGAGGGAGCGGGAGGGGACGGACGTTGGAGGGAACGAGCCGTGAAAACACTCTCGTTTTTATCGATCTCGTTCTGTGACGACGAAGGTGCGCTTCCTCCGGGGAGGATCGCCCAGAAGCGGATCAAGCCGCCGGAGACTAAGAGGATTCCACCGGTATGGCCCGCACTCTTCACGCATTTTTCGACGTGCGACGTGGCTAGGAGGAGCGCGTGTGATGTGTGAATTCCATCGGCTGGAAATGGGTATTGTCTCTG